TGCATCTCGGCAAGGTTCTGAACGCGGGGACGACGCCAAAGCAGAGAAAAATTAAGCCAACAAAACCAGCAACATTACAACAAAAAACAACAATGTACCTCGTCCTGCAGCACTATACCAACTGTTCGCACAATAATATGGGGGGTCGAGTTGTTGTAGTTTTTCTTCACATTAAACTCGTGTCAGTTGCTAATCCCAAAATCTAGGAAAGAGTGCAACGATGTGAAGGTTCAAAGAGAGCGAACGACGCCGAATAAATATGAGAATGTGCGACTTTCAACCACCACCACGTTGTCATCGTCAGATCGTCAGGTTTGTTTATGATGTTGATGTTCGTGCTGATATCCCTGCTGCATATGCGCGTCTCTTGACGCATGGTACATACACCTCCGCTCGATGGTGAGTTATCATCCCCCGAACCTTCAAGACACTTCCCCTCGTTGAAGACATTTACAAAAAGACGTAGCGTGTCTTAAGAGCGGGGTTGACTGAAATATGGCCAAGGGACTTTCCGTATCTTCAATGTCAACAAGGGGCGCCCGGGAATCTGGCGCATGCGGCAGATGGGAAGCCCCTGCCGCAATAAAAAAAGTAGCTCGGTTAGGCGACCTAGGCCTACCCACTGCACCACAACTTATTTGGGGGTGTTGGCAGTGGAACATGTGCTATTTTATTACTCCAGTATTCGATGGTTTTCACACACTCCCAAGTTTCCATTGTACAAATACACAAATACTCCGCGAGAGAGAGCCGATGCGGAGAGACTTACTCTGTTGCGATAACAGAAAGCTAGGTGTAGCATGCTGCAGCGCACTGACCGCTGTACACCAGGGTTGACGGGCACTTGGTTCGCGAAAGAATACGAAATTCAGCAAAATGATGCCTGTAGGGCGCCCTGCGCAGCGAGAGCGTCAGGATTGGGGCTCTCTCATCTACCGGCGTGTGCCGTACCGCATAGTATCTATCTACAGCAATAGCACGGTGTTTTGTCCCTATTTCTTCGGGCTATTTCCGATTTCGAACCAACTGCCGCCGCCTGTCCGTCCTAACGTCTCTCCATCTCCTCCCGAACAGGGAAACACAGACAGGGTGCACGCAAACCTCATAGCAAGATAGACTGCTCAGAGGCACACACGACGAATCCTAGCACAAGTTCTATTTATTTAGTCGCCGCTGGTCGCGATCGACATACCTGAGCGTCCAGCGTGCCCCCTGCGACTGATCCGATGGGTCTCCCGAGGCTCACAGGCACGGTCTCGGCTGGCACCCTCACGTCAACGAACCCCGCAGACGGCCCCGCTGTTTCCTCATCACCACCCAGGCCGCCTGCCAACCGGGGCACTACTGTCCCCACAGTCACAGAGATGAGGACGCAACAAGCGGTCACTCGAATCCACGCGCCCCATCCCTCGCCCCGTTGGTCCACCTTGTTCCTTCGAGGCGGAGAGGGCGGCATGTTCGCGTGCCGACGTCTCATGTACAACGAGATGCGCAGGGAGCTGTTCGACACACTTGTCACTTATGGTCTGAGCTCAACAGCAACACAAGCGGTTCCTATCCCAGGCAAGGCCGGGGGCGAGGCGGCGAGGCACACACACAACGGAGAGACTGCTGCTGTAGTCACTAGGCACAGAGGCACTGAAGCACTGAAGGTTCCACAAGTACAGGCGGAGGGGGCACACAAGCGATATTATAGGTAATGATTCTGCGTAACCTCTGTCGTTCTGTCAGAGCTGTGTGGCATATGATTGGCCAATTCATCACTTGACATGACAAACTCCGCACGAACTGCTACTGCTGTTGGGAACATTTGCTGTGATGCTTATGTAGATATCTTACCTTGGAGGCGCAGGCGATGTCTCATGTCATGTGTCTACAGCAGCAGTACTAAGCACAAGACGTAAAATACATGCTCTCCCCCATCCTAACCTGCAGGTTTTCAGACTCTCGCCCCGGCGCGGCAAGAGACATTCTTTTATAAATACAGCAGTAGTAGTACATGAAAAACCTTTGATTCAACCCCGCGCCAAAGCACTACAAGTTGACAAGTAGTACTAGGTAGGCACAGCGTCGAGCATGCACTCTACAGTATGGTGGGGATGTGGTACAGTAACAACGGCAAGGGATTCTACACGTAGCAACAAGAGAAGAGAGGCACGGAGAGAACGAAACCTGGAGGCTGCCTCCACAATCATATCATTCATTCATTCATCAATTCCCATTTGGACAGGACGCACACAGCCACCTCTTCTTCTAATGCCAGGCGGTCATCAGCAGGCCATTGACATTCAAGAAATATGACGACATGTATATGCATGCCACTCCTTTCTTCCCCGAACACCGCAAATCACTCTTCTTCTTGGCCCAGAAACCGATTTTCAATCTTCAATCTTTCAATCATCCTTAGCTAATGTTGATGAACGTTTTGGACGCGCCCGCCATCTTCTGGTCAGGATCTACATAAGCACTTGCTTGAGTTATTGCAGCTTGACCCTGATCAATTGGGTGATTTTCCATCTTGAAACCTCTCGTTGCCCCTTCTTCACGTCTTCTACCAATCTTGTCACATTCAATCCCGACCCAACACCTCTGCCAACGGTAGATACCCTCCCTTTGCATGCCCCCCCCCCAAGCCTGATAGCTCTACGGCCAAGCATGACGGTATTGGGTACCGAGTGCTCTTCCAAGGATGATTGATCATTCCCGAGCACAATAGTCTCACAAGGGCGCCAAACGCAAAGAGCTACTGACCTGACGTGTCGTGCTACTCACCGTACGGAACACCACCAAGCCCCGCAGGCGGCACGACTGGAGCCGCTAACCGGCGGGTGGGGAAGGTATGTGTAGAACGAATCGGAGTCTACAGAGGTGTTCTGATGCACTCTACTGCTGTATGTGTCTATTTCCTGCGATATATACAAAGAGAGCAACATGATCAAGAACCAAGCGCAAAACCAGGATCCACCCACCGTCAGAAAAGGCAACCAATATAACAACAAAACAACACCTGAGACTCCACTGTTCATTTTTTTTATCATCCAACCGCGATCTCTCTACAAATCGTTGGCACCGGCAGCACTGCTTTGTACTCCCGGGTCGTGTTTCTCGTCCTCGAGCGGCTTGATGACGTCAAACGGGGCAACATTTTCCAGGCCCTGCTTGACGTTGCCGGAACTCGCGGATCGTCGTCTCAGAGGTGTTCGCTGTTCTGCTGCTAGTGGTGCGGCGTCGTGATGATGCTGTCGGTACTGTGATAACCCGAGATATGCAACAGAAGCATTACCCATTTGATCCGGAACAGCAGACAGACACAACGCCGGTCAGCAAGGAAAAATAAGGGGCGAAAGGACCGTCTGCTTTAGACCCAATTCTGCTATCCGATAATCGTTTTGGATTGTGGTGAGCTGTGTTCTAGCATCCCGTTGTTCACAACCCCGGCAAGGAGTCGCCGTACCTATCATCTTCTCAATCTCTGCCTCGAACTCCTCTCTGTATGCCCCACTTTCGAGTCCCATAAACCCACAAGTTTCATCTTTGTGTACGTCAAGCGCGAAACAAGAACATTCGTACGTTCCGTGTGCGTTCATAGTACATCCGCGCCTAGAGTACAATCATACGACCAATAGTGACGCCCAAGTAATACCCGGATACCCCCTTGTTAGACTGGGGCTAATGAATCTAGATGATGAGAAGCAACGATCAAACACCTCCATGTTTCTGAGGCGTGGCGGTCTTGCAAGCAAACATGGGTCGAGCCACGGGCACCCATGTTCAGAGCCAGATCTTGTATTGTTTGTATGTAGGCAGCAGGTCGGTATTATGCTACAAACGGCGGCCGACGCCATGGTCTCTTGCTTGCAAGCTGAGCAAAACACCCTGGGGGCATCGATCATATCTGGAAATAGTAATGGACACGTTTTGGTGGCAGTTCCTGGTTGATCATGCTAGTGGCGCGTTTTGGTTATGTCCATCGCAAGATAGCGAAAAGCGCTCATGCACGGCGCATAGAAGCTCGTACCAGTGGGGCTCGGAGAATGTCGGTGTCATCATGTGCGCCCCAGCTCGTAAAGGTGTCGGCGGAATTGAGTGTGTTGATGGACACAGTGTAGCCCGTGATGTGCTGCATCATGGTGGTTGTGCACTCGTGGCCCTGTCTTTTCGCACACTCAGTCTGGCTCCTGTTGATCAGATCCTTGAGGGCAGCAAGTATCGATCACGGCGCCAAGAATGTCGAAAACATGAATCAACTAGAAACAAATCTCCCGCGGATGTTTGCGATTTCAGAGGTACATAAAACGTTTACCCACGTGTCGGCGGCATCGCTTTCAAAGGAGAGATGGGGTGAAAAATCGAAACTTCGACAGATCGATGCATTGATGAAACGAAGCAAGCGCGTTTGCTACCTTGGTTCCCATCCCAAACATGGGCCAGGCAGTCAGTACGGCATCATCCAGAGAAAACGTTAAACAGCGACGACGATAGGGGCAAAACAGTTTTGTATACCTTTGGTGGAACCACACTCCGCCGCTTCTGGTGCCAGTACTCTTCGTTGCCTCCGTGTACTTCTGGCTGGTTGTCGAGGGCCTCGAGCTTGCTGTACGGTCGGCATCGCAACGGAGCTCTCCAGTAGTCGACAAGCACCTGTTGGTCATGATGTGATGTGGTTCGTATCAATAGAGATATGGATGGCGCCTCAACGCTCTTGCAGATTATCCTGGCGTTGATACATACCGATTGCCAGAGCGCGGTATCCAAAAATGCCTCCTAGACCTCGAAACCCTAACCCTAGCAACAAAATGAGAGCATCTAACCTCCATCGCTTTGGAACAAAACCTCAGGTCCCCCGCCAAAGAGCCGCCCTCCAGCCTGTGGGGCGCTCCCGAAGTTTGCCGGTGCTTGCTTGTCGACGTAGGGGTAGACGGCGACGCAGCCGCCTGAGTCAAGCAACGAAAATGAGCGTGTGATAGGGACGGGATGGTGGAGGGTGCTCGATTATGGCTTGCCGCAGCCATTTAACCATTGAGCGCGCGCCTACCATTAAACGGATCACGTTCCTACGATTCCAATTTCTCGGGTATTGAGAAGAAGGGGAGCGCGGGGGGGACACAGAGTAAGGTCTGAATCGTTCCGCATAGAAGGGCGAGTGGCGAGGAGGGGTCCCCAGTCATTCGGCGAGAAGGTTTGGGGACGTTTGTAGGGTATTTTTTGTGGAATATCTCCAGGGGGATTATGGCAGTTGACCCTCACGACGAAAAGGATGAGCGAGCAACGCAGGGTTTGACCGAGGTGTTGTGTCAAGGGGGCGGCACAAGGGTGCTCGAAACTTTTCGCCTGGTCATGGCGTTCGAATGGGGTTGTTTTTTGTCCTCTGTCCCAAGTAGTATGTAAGATACAGGGCTCCACACGTGTGCGAAGTAGCGGTGTCTTCATGGCTAGCTCCAAGCCACGTGAGTTTGAGGTGCGTTCACCCCTTACGACGAACACATCCCGCATAATTCCCGATGCCAAGAAAGTTCCAAGCAAAGCCGTGTTCGCAAAGCGTACCTATTGCCGAGTACTCAGCATCCTGCAGAGGTTTCAATTACGTTCCAAGAAAGTGTGGCAGTCTTTCAAAGCCACTACAGCCTAGCATTATTCACCTGAAACACATCCTGTGCGATGTTTCTTCCAACCAGAAGTCCTTCGTGTGCTGAGTGGAGATGGACCATTGCGATGGCCACGCGCAAGCACCCCTTTAAAAAAAAACAGGAAAGCACGCCAGAACGGTCAACGACAATCGAACGCAAAGAATCCCGTTCACAACACTTCCAACGTCGTAGTGCAGCGGCCCCTCAGCAGAACAATCACTCTGGTTTCGCGGTATTGTACACTGCCGTATACAACACCAGCGGCCTAGAAGGCGCCATCTCACGTTTGCAGCAGTTACTGTCGGGTTGCGTGACGTAGAATCGTTGTCCGGCGTGGTATTTCACCGTCAAAGCCACGGTGCGTGCAGTGTACCTTTTGCTTTTGCCCCGTCCTCTTCGGGGAAGTTCTCCGGTTCCAGCATGCGTCACAAGGCGGCATCCTACGCTGACATGACATCATACAGCTTTCTGTAGCAGAAGCGTAGCACGAGGTTGCTATAGTTACCTTCTGGTACACCCTTCCTTGGGGTATGCCAGCGGCTGCTAGAGAATCTCGGACGTTCCTCACGCAACCCGTGAGGCACTGCAACAGTCGAACCTGGCCCACGGGAAGCAGGTTCAGACGATGAAACTGCCCTAACAACCATACGCATAAACAGATCCGGGAAACGCATAGGACATAGGTTTGAGGGGCCGTTTTCTGTTTCCAGCACCAGCATCGATCGCATCTGCGGGAGGGCGTACGTGGCGTTGACACAATTTCTTGTGTTCTCCTTTTCTCGTGTTTCTGCTCCGTGTTCAACCTCGTTTTCCTGAACACAAATCCGACGGTGTGCGATCTATTGTTTCCGATCCGATATTGTCGCATGGCCTGCGCATCAAAAGAAGAGGCGAGTTGAGATGAAACCACACGTATAGACTGGCGACCAATGACTGATGAAGAAATGAAACAGCAAGCATTCATCAGTTGCGAAACGTGTGATGAGCTACCGAACCGTTGAATAGTAAATCTAGCGATGTCCGTAGCTAATCTAAAACATGATCTTGGCTGTCTTGCAAGATAAACTTTAATCAGATAGACTGTATCAATAGGTGCAACATTAACACTTACCACCTTGCTGGTGAGGCCGAGCAAGTTCAAAGGGTAAACCCAACAAACACCGGCACGCCGTCTTTGACTGATTTCAGTTTTGGTGGGGGGCGAGGTGTGTAGGGGCTAGACGATGGTAAACGCGGACGTGCTGGAACGAATACAGACAGGACTACAGCTTGTTTCCCTCTGAAAATCTGCGAGATTGTAGGTGTCACAAGGCTTGGTGGCACGTTCCCTTCAAGGGGTGGAATAGTGCTTGAACTGGTTCGAAATTTCTCCCAAGTGTGGCACATGTATGCGGAGTGCAAATAAGCAAAAGCAAACCATTCTTGCCTAATAGTCCAAAGCGTGCGGTCATTGTCTTCCCCCCCAACGTACCTTCCGAAAAGGTTTCGAATGCACTCGTGGCCTTGACGGTGGCTTCTTGCCCATCGCCTGCCAGAGCCGCCGATACCGCGCTTTGCGGCAAGGCTCTCCTCAGCTCGGTCACCGTTATGGGGGGAACGGCCAGCTGCGCTAGCCAATCGTACAACAGTTGAGCTGGTATTCTTCTCCCTCCGTCCACAGGTAGGTACAGGTACGGCGGGGGGAGGATTGGGAGGAGGATCATGTCCGTTTCGCGTCCACATACGTTAAGCATATGCATACGCAATGGCCTTGGACTGCTTGGGGTAGGGGTACGATATTATTTTAACACGTGTTTCTCACGAATGTCAGGATTCCGCCGTACACAAGATGCACCAGGGTAGACGTTTCCTCGGCACAGAGAAGTCCCCATCGGTACATAGAGAACCGACGCATTGACCACGAGTATACCTGGGGTCGACAGATGCGGGTGTCGCTTCACAATGTTCTACCAGCTGCTCCCACGGCTCCCAGTCGTTGGCGTTGCTAGAGTATTGCATAGCCTTGACACTTTGCTCCTCGGCCATCCCCCAGACACTGCTGCTCCTAAAACAGTATACATATTGATCGGAATGGGTCATTTCGATTTTCGTTGCTATTGGAGATATGTGTTGTTTTCATTTGATATGATTTCACAAACAATATGGCAGTGTTGCTTCGGCAACTGCGTTGGCAATGTATCCATGAGTACCCGACCGAGAGGGGCATGGTCGGCTGAGTGGAGCGCACAATACCGGGATCCAAATCAGAGTAGTACTAGTTATACCGACTAGATCAAAATGAATCAACTTGTCTCTCACTTGTGAGCTTCACCGCTGTGGTGCACACCCGCAAGAGCTTGCGCCACATCCTCGGGCCTTTCACTGGCTGTAGTATTGCAGTATGGCAGTATTGAGCACAACGTGACAGAGATTGGCTCCATGCCAGGTCGATAGACGATGTAGAGTGATCACAAAATGATACGGAATTCTGAAAGCAGCACATCAACTGCACGGAAAACGACACAGAAAAAAGGAGACGTTGTCCACTTGGGAGTCGTATTTGTGCGAGTACCGCGTTTTTGTGCCTTCTTCCAGTCACCCGGTCGTCGTTCGTCACAACAGTATGAAAGATCTAGGGTGCGGCTCTTGCGGGACACAAAACACTTCATGCGCCTTTTATCTCAAACAAGTGGCAAATATTTCAGCAAGCGAGTCTCGGCAACTTGCTTCAGGAAAACAGTACCCGACTGTAGCGGTAAGGATGATTTGCTGGTGGAATTGTTTCTCTTTGTGGTGATTGTTTCGGCACGGTGATCTGATGTCGGAACACTCGAAAAAGCTCCGAGTGGCCACGTTTGCGTATTAACGCTGTACAGCAGTGGTGGCATGCGAGGGGGGGGGAGGGAGAGAGAGAGAGACAGAATACAAGGATGTTTGTGTTGTGAATCGAAAAAAGCTTGCACTGGTCGCTGTTGTGGTTTTCGGAAGGATGAACTGTGTTTCAGTGGCGTCATTTTCGGTGTGGACTAGTTGAACAAAGCCGAGAATGTTATCTCCATGGAACCAAAAAGACGGGTATATATCTGGAGGATAGACCGCCGCAGTTACACGTACCAGCAGTAGCGCTATGGTACATTGCGATGAAAGCACACAGCAATGACGGCGACGCAACTCGATCAGAATCTTCCCCTCACCAAGCATCACGAGCATTCTGGTGGCCAAGGCAACAGCCTTAGGCAGCCAGCGGAGGTTTACGCTCTCCTGTCCATGCAGCAGGAATGCCTGAGGTGTGGTGTTTGATGAATGGGGCTGGTCTTTGTACCCTTCGTCTTGTTGAACATGCTATAACGTCCAACAGGTACTGTTCTCGTGTTGATGGATTCCGTTGTAACCGTAAGCTCGTGGAGCCGACTCTTTGCAGCACATAAGTCACTGTTCTTGTAGATGGCTTATGCTGTTTTAAATAGTAGGCGTAGTCAACTCGTCGCCACAGCGCAGAAGCGTGAATGGTCGCTGCTTGCGATCAGAGCAGGGAGGAATCAAAACGCAAAGGTCACTCAAAATAATCAATTTCAAACGGCAAAAGGCGTGGAATGAATAGGCTCTGGACGTTGCCAGACGGCACCCCACCTGCTGTGCAAGATGCTGCCCGAGCGTGACCCTGGCATGGTCCGTGAAGTGATACACCACCCGAACACCGCGCACAAAGTTGGCGAATTCTCCCACCATCGAGACCTGTTGAGCAAGCAAGTGGAGAGGGGCGCAACCATGCGCTCCGGGAAGTTCTTCACCTAACGCTAGCCCTCCTGAATCATTGAGGTACTGCTGTGGTGTGACGGGTACTTGGTGTTGGGCAGTGGTTCGATCTCCACGTTCGTTTATACAAGTTCGACGTGCCCTCGATAAACAACAAAACCACAACCACAACCGAATGTCCTCTTGCCTGGGCGTTCGTCTGCAAAGAAGTAGGCCTCTTCTCCCTGACAAGAGCCACCGCTTGCTGCGGGGGGAGATTGTTCATCATCACCAAGATACTCGCAATCACGAGGCCCGTTCGGCCGTAGCCAGCGTGGCAATGTACGGCGATCTGAGCAATAGAAATGTGGAATTGACATGCAACGTGGGGTAGCGTTTTGAAGGAGTGGAAAACGTACTGCAATCGGAGCTAATCGTTGAGAATCAGTGCAGACCAACATTATCTTTTGCTTTCC